TTTTTTTTTATATAATAAATGTTCTTTGTAGTATCTGAAGTTAACTGTCTTAATTCTGCTATAGTACAACTTCTATGAGCCGTAACTCACCATTAAAATTGTTTCCTGGTTATAATAATGAACTTGTTTGCCAGATGTTAAACACATTAAATGAAGAAGCAGGAGAAAAAACTTGCCTGTAATCCCATAAGCCAGTGAAAGAGTACACAACAGCTCACACTCACACACTTACTGTGTTAAAAACCAGCACAGTTGGCTCATTCCTGGTAACTGCAGCAGACACTAATCCTCATAAGTACTGAGACACAGACCATCAGCACGGTCTAAGGCTTACTGAAGCATGTGGACTTCTGGTTTTCAAATTGAAATCACAGGACATTGTAACTCAACACTCTGCCTACTTCAAACAGAATACATTTTTTCATGACTACTATAAAAAAAAAGAAAACTCAGTAATTACAAGTATTTCACTTTATAATATAGGACATTTTTAGATATTCAGAGGATTTCTGACCCATGCCTGGCGAAATATTATTTAACTAATGGAATTCTGACAATCCTCAATGAAAAACCTGCGTGCTCATGTTTTGGATAAAGAGGAGAGGTTTGGACTAGAGTTGGAGAGAAGATCCTATGAAAGCACAGAATCTGTGTTGTGTTGAAGCCTTCACAGGAAGAATGTAGACTGGCAAATGATGAAAGTCCAATGGTTCTGGGTTCATAGATCTGAAGCCCATGCTGCCTAGTCCCTGTGGATGAGAGCCATCCAGCATGCTGAAAACCTTAAGGGTGTTCCTGAGGCCTAGCCTATATTTCAGTAATAACAACACATATCAGGTTTATCAGGTGATTGTCCCCAAGGGATTAAATGGGAAAAGTGAAGGAAGTAGGCAGAGAGGTAACTTTAGGTTTGGGGTTTTTTTTTTTTTTTTTTTCTTTATTTTTTCCAGTTTTTCCAGACGGTTTCTCTGTAGCCTTGGCTGTCCTGGACCTGCTTTGTAGGTCAGGCTGGTCTTGAACTCACAGAGATTTGCCTGCCTCTGCCTCTCTGAGTGTTGGGATTAAAGATGTGTGGTTTGATGCCTGGATGCTAACTTTAGGTTCTTTTGAGATTAAAAGAATTTGCTACTAGCTTAACCATCAAATTAACCCAAAATGGGAGGAACAACTGAGATGGTTGTATCTCTACGTGAATAAAATACTTGTATTTGTGTAATTGCAGGTAGATTAGTATGCTTGTGTGTCAGAATGCAGCATTCTTTCTTGGCTGCTTTATGCTGGATTTACCAATAATAACATGTTTGCTTTTTTATTAGATCTGGAATACACACACACATACACAGCACTTGGTGTATATAAGGCAGCTGGCCATGGTGGTGCACGCCTGTAATCCCAGCAGAGGCAGGTGGATCTCTGTGAGTTTAAAGTCAGCCTATTCTACAAAGTAAGTCCAGGACTGCCAAGGCTACACAAAGAAACCCTGTCTCAAAAAACCAAAAAAAAAGGCAAGTTCAGTGAAAAGCTCTGAGAATTAAACATCTCTAAAAGTAGACCTTTCACAAATAGAGATAGATGTATAAAATATGAATTAATATCTAAAATACCATATATTTTGACAATATATAAACTTTCTTAACCACAATATTTTATCAGGGCACTTCCAGTGAACCAGGCATTGTTGGTGACAAAAGCATAAAATGTGGTCCTTGCCATTAATGGCTTTCAAAGATCCAAGAGAGCCAGTGAAGGCCAGTATGTGCCATTGCCACCCTCTGTCCTCTTTTGGTCAAGACGCCTCCCGTGCCTCACCCCCTGTAGCTGGAATCTTGGGCTGCCCTTCATTCCATCGAATTCCGAAGAATGTAGCCTTTTCCTGGAGAAACTCCTTTCTTCAATGCTTCAGGCCAGTTGCGAGTCTCAAAGTAAGTGGACAGGATATCAAACACTGTCAGAGGGTAAACAAGTTGGTGACCATCCAGGAGAAAAGACTAGTTAAGGACTAATGTGGACAAAGGCATTGTGGAATATCTCACTGACCACTGACTTCTATGTCAGGTGGTAGTGGATCATGGGCGGAGAGAGGCAATGCTTACTTGGAAGGAGGCAGCTTACACTGAAAGAAGCTTGTGAATGGACAACACTGCAACAGGAATGCAGCACCATGGGAATACAAATAAGGGGCCTGATGTAGCCTGCAGTGGGAGGGAAGGCAGCTTAGATGCTACTGAACTGAAGTTTACAGAATAAAGATACTGGCCAATGAAGGTAGATGGCAGGGCATTCTAGGCAAAGAGATACTTTCAGCCGGGAACAAAAAGAAAATGAAAGACACCTCTCAGTGGCCAGAATGATGCCTGCCAGCAAGCGCATGCAGTTGAGTCTAGGTGTATTAGTCCCAGGGGCATTACACTCAAAGCAAAGTGGCCGTCCCAGAATAAGCTATCAAACAGTGTCTCAGTAGACAGAAAACAGTGACCATCCAAGAAAAAGCACTAGTAAATGGCCAGTAAGGAAAAGCAAGTTGGGTTAGGCCACACGAGCATTACCTTGATTGATGGCCAGTATTTCTGAATGGTAGTTTTTCTCATTCTGGCGCCTGACCATGTATTCCTGGATTGGCAAGCGGGCTGTTTTGATAGAGTATTCTCGGGCTTTTTGAAATGTCACCTTCTGTAAATCAAATTTTCTTATTATAAAAATTAGACATGAAGACATTCACTGTAATAAGCACTGCCAGTTTTGAAAATTCCCACAGAGTGCTACTTTTAGTTGGTAGGAAGATGAGAGAGAACAGGGTGTTCAAATTTCCCATCTAAGCAGCACACTGCTCACTGACCTGGATGTCACTGCCTCAAAGAGGCCATCTGCCTGTCTCAGGAGACTTGATGACTCAGAAGGTAAGCAGTGATCCAGACTGCAATAAAGCTCTCTTCCCCTTCCCAACTACTTATTTTAAACTATCTCAACTCTAAAAATCTGAAAGAATCATTAAGTGAATTTCTCCTCCTGTCACTTACACTCCCGCAGCAATCTGTGCTTGAAAGTGAGCTATGGCCATCAACATTCCATGGCTCAGTACCTAGCCTTTCACTGGAGAACATCGGCAGGCAGATGGAGCCACAGACATGTCACTGCACTTAACTACTTTTTAGGTTGTTACATTCTTTTAAGACAGCTCCCTGCTTGTTTTAGTTTCTATTACAGTGGCTTTTTGGAAAGCCCTGTTGCCTCGCAGACTGTCCTGTCATGGACTTCTTGTTTCCTCATGATTAAATTTGAATCTTTCAAAAATTGAGCAAGAATCCTTGACGGGAAAGAGTATCACGTTAGGAGACACAGAATGCCACTCCTGGTGATGCTCAGTCTCATAAGGTTTGCGATGGTAATCTACAATGTCTTCGGTGTAATGGCACGTTCTTGGTGGTCTGTCAGGGGGACACTCTGAGGGCAGGTTTCTCAGCTGTTCGTGCCTTCCCTTAATCAGCTGCCTGAATCAGTGATTACACTGGGAGCAACAAAAACAACAACTCTACTTCCCATTAGCAGGCTCCTTTTGTAAGAGGCCCCCTGCCCTGTTATAAACACCATAGAACACTTAATTTTAAACGTAACTGTATTTAGTTTTAGTACAATTAAATGATAGATTGAGCTTAAACATGTGCTTCATGTATGTGTCTCACATAAAATGCTTCTACATACATGATAAACACATGTAAAGTAGACCAATAAATATACCTAAGAAAAGTGAACCATGGTGCCCTGAGGGGTAAGGAGTACAGGGAGGGAAGGACACTTATTTCTCACTGCATTCCATTTTGCAAATGTAAACTATTAGATCACTATTGAACATAAAAACTATGTAATGTGTTATAATTAACATGTTAACAAATATATAAGCAAAGAATATAACCAAAAAAGTTAATATTTGTATAACAGTCTGACAGGAACTCAGTGGCTGGCTCTTTGACCTCCCCCCACCCTCTGAGGGAGGAGCAGCCTTGCTAGACCATAGAGGAAGATAATGCAGCCAGCCCTGATGAGACCTGATAAACTAGGGTCAGATGGAAAGGGAGGAGGACCTCCCCTATCAGTGGACTTAGAGAGGGGTATGGAAGAGATGAGGGAGGGTAGGTGGGGATTGGGAGGGAAAAAAGGAGAGGGCTACAGCTATGATACAAAGTGAATAAACTGTAATTAATATAACAAATTTCGGAAAAAATAAACAGAAAAATTGTATAACAGGAACAAAATTTGAAACTTCATTAACAGCTTAATTATTCCAATGAAACTCCAACAAAAGAAGCCTGAAGAAGGGGCTGGAGGGCTGGCTCAGCAGTTAAGAAAATTTGTTGTTTCTACAGAGGACCTGGGTTTGCTTTCCAGTACCCGCAGGTAGCTAAGAAACATCTAGAACTCTAATTCCAGGGCGCTCATGTCCTTTTCTGACCAGGCATGTACACAGTGTACAAACATACATGTGAGCAAAACATTCCTACACATTAAAAAAAAAAAAAACAAATCTAAGAAGCCCAGAAAATCCTACTGAATTTGAGGTCTTGGAATATAACTCACACCAGCAAGAAAGCTAGCCTAGGAGAAGCTGACTAATCTCTCACAAAGAACAAAGTGCTGAAAAAAAGATACTTAGCCAAAATCAGGGTCATCCTGGTAGAAAGAAGAGAGAGGAAGCAGAATGGCCGTGTCAGGATCAGCAGTGTGTCTACTCTGACTTCTGATTCTCCTCCTGTCAAGACTGCTGACAAGGCTGATGATGAGAGGAACCTTCAGGCAGAAGAAACACCCTACGAACAACAAGCTCTTCTTCCCACACAGCTGCTAGGCCTTCTGGGTAAAATAACAATAGGGCAAAATGCCCCTGCCATAAATGGGCTAAAATGACTGGGGGTTGGTGGTGAACCCCTTTAATCCCAGCACTCAGAAGGTAGACGCAGGAGGATCTCTGTGAGTTCAAGGCCAGCCTGGTCTACCGAGCTAGTTCCAGGACAGCCAAGACTACACAAAGAAACCATGTCTTTTTTTTTTTTTTTTTTTTTAAGATTTATTATGTATATAATGTTGCAGGCCAGAGAGGGCACCAGATCTCATTATAGATGGTTGTGAGCTACCATGTGGTTGCTGGGAATTGAACTCAGGACTTCTAGAAGAGCAGCCAGTGCTCTTAACCTCTGAGCCATGTCTCCAGTCCGAGAAACCATGTCTTGAAAAAAAACAAAATAAAATAAAAGGGTGGATATGTTCTAAAATGTCTACTTACCTTCTGAATGCTTTCATCTACAAGTCCACCAATAATGTAAACTGTGTTTAGATCAATGTCTTCAAGGGCTAGTGAAAAAATGAAGACCAATGAGATCAAATTTGTTTTATAATTTCAAAATCCAAAGAAAGCAAAATGAAAAAATACCAACACTATCAATACAACTAACACAACACAACTAAAAGCTAATCCTCTGAAAGACGAAGCAGACAGCCTCTTGGATGATCTGAAAAATGCAGGCAGTATGCTCAAAGCAGCGCTTGGCTAGTCAGGAAACAAAACCAAGATTACAAGAAATGTGAGAGTACATGGCCAACCTGATACACCAGGTATGAAAATTATGGGAAACGGGATATTGTAGTAGAGGGAGAGAGGGAAAGAGGGGGGGTGGGGGGGGGGGGGGACTGACCCAAGCTGGCCAGGAAACTGGATTGCTAGGCGTCATACAAAGTCCAAGTGAATACGAAGTAAACTGCAGCACTGGATACTGCCTACACCAGAGGCCAGTTCATCCCCCAGATTCCTCCCGCCACAGTCTCGTGGATGGGGTGACAAGTGTGCCACAGGGAATAATGAGACAGAAGATAAGGAACAAAGCACTCTTCAAATCCACGTGGAAAGGACAGGTACTTACGGTGTTCTGAGTCAGGAGTCAGGTACACAAGGGTGTCCAGGGGAAATAGGCTGACGCAGTCTTCTTCTGTCACATCGAGCTGGAAACACAAAGATCATTACCCAGGGGGCCGGAGCTAAAGCTGCACGGTGCACAGCGCTCCAGCTGGTGCGCAGCACCACTCCAGCTGTGCTGGGGAGCTGCGGCTCTGAGGGCTTCTTGAAAGGTGCTGAGTTGAAACAACAACAACAACAAAAAAACACAGACAGTTAAATCACAGAAGCCAGACAGAGAGTGACAGGGGCTCCCAGAGGGACTACAGTGGAGGGAGGACCCCACCAGGGAGGGCTTTCTGGTGGAAGGAGTACTAGAGCAGGGTTTCTGGAAAGAGGGGAGACTGACACACACGAAAGGGTCAAAGCAAAGGAAATCGCCTCTGAAAGGCAGGGAAGCAGGGCTTCGGGAGAGACTGGTGAATCGACAGGAGACAGCAAGCTGCGCAGCCCCACGCAGCACACCCCTCACACCCGTGGCCTCCACGGCTTCCCCAGGTAAGGCTGTAATAACTTGGTCCCAGCTACACAGCAGCACAAAGGGGCATTTTTAGTGCCTGGATTCACACTTGCCTCTCTACAGCCACCTTTATACCATCCTCAGCAAAGAGCTGGAAAGCCCTGTACTCTTTCCTAAAAAGACACCATGGAGCCACACCGTTTCTAAAAGCATCACTTCTCTTCCTCTAACAACCATGTCCCCACCGCTACACTACTATTTCCATAAACATTGTTAGAGAATATGGTTTACTGTGAACTAGACAGATCATCAAACATGGTCCTAGACACTGGGAATATTAGTTTGCCAATGCAAGGCAAGGATGAGAAAAAAAAAAGTAAATACAAGAACAAATGAAAGATTCTGAGCCTTTTTTGAGTGCAACAGTGAAAAGGTCTCATTTATATATGGACACTGCAGTTGCCCCTCAGCATTCTTGGGGATTGGTTCCAAGATGGCTCTACAGACACCAAGATCTAAGCATGCTCAAGTCCCTTATTAAAGTGGCAATGTTTACATTTAAGTTATATGCTCCTGAAGACTTTAAATCACCTCTAGTGATTATAATGCATGGTACTTCTTATGCTGTAGTGAAGTTTCCTCTTGTGTTTGGAGACAGGGTCTCACACTTGGGACTCACTATGCAGTTCAGGCCTGCCTCAGCCTCCCACGTGCTGGGATTACAGCATGAGCTACCACACCCAGCTGTAGTGCACTGCAGAGGAATAAACGACAAGAAAAAGTGTCAATGTGTTCATTACAGAGGCAATTCTTTTTTCAAAAGATTTTTTTTAAACTATGGTTAAGTTGGGCATGGTGGCTCACACCTGTAATCCTAACACTCAGGGAGACAGAGGCAGGTGGCTCTCTGTGAGTTTGAGGCCAGTCTGGTCTACAAAGTGAGTCCAGGATAGCTAAGGATACACAGAGAAACCCTGTCTCGAAAAACAAAAAACAGAATGAACAAACAAACAAAACAAAAAACCCTATGGTTAAGCCAGGGACAAGACAGTTCAGTGGATAAAAAGACACTACCACCAAGTCTGACTTGAGTATTATCCTAGGACCCACATGGTGAAAAGAGATAACCAACTCTTATTATCCTCTGATCTCTGCATTCATACCACAGTAGGCACACATACACATACTAAATTAAAAAAAAAAAAGTAAGGGGGGCTGGAGAGATGGCTGAGTAGTTAAGAGCACTGTCTGCTCTTCCAAAGGTCATGAGTTCAGTTCCCGGCAACCACATGGTGGCTCACAACCATCTATAATGTGAACTGAGTCCCTCTTCTGGCAAGTGTAAATACAGATAAACACTCGTATACATAAAAGAAATAAATTTTAAAAAAGTAAATGCAATAAAAATGCAGTTAAATGTGTTGATGTGGAAGTCATAGGTGGAGAACGAGCTATACATTAAAGATTGAAAAAGCAAAATCTTCTATTAGGACATGAGCACTTTTGGATAATTTAGGTAGAATGTCAAAGGACTTTTACCAAGTAGGCAGAAAATCCATCATTCATCCTCAAACATTCTTCATAGAGGGGACTGTCGGTTGAGAATCCGGTGAGGCAGATCCAAAAGGGCCTGCTGGCTTTTCTGTTTGAGCCGTACAGCCTTCGAATCTGTCCAGCCAACCTACTCAGTTCCTGGAAAGCAAGAAGGACAACTCAGCAGAAGCATGCTGGACCTAACGGCAGAGAGCCACAGCAGTCACCCACTGGGCGCTGCTCCAGAACATGCTCATCAGCTGGCTTGGGCCCTCTACTCCAGGACAGAGCCCATGTGCAAGTGTTATTCTCTGCGACATCACACATACAGCCAAGGTTAAGGCAATGACACTAGTCCAGAAATACTGTTGAGCACACAACAGTTCTTCCTCCTGCTGACTCTGCCAATGATATCTGAAAAGATTGCTTCCGCTTCTATGGCAAGGTTCTACTATATGATGCTCAGTATTTAAATTATCAAAGAGGTTAGAGTAGTGACACTTCTGTGCCCTGTTAGGTATTTGGTACCATCGCCCTAACTTGAAGAGATGCCACAATGTTGAAGTTTTCACTTTTCTCCATAATCACAGATTTTTCAGTTTAGCTTGATTTGTGCTACACTGAGTAAAAGGCCTAACAGGCTTTGAGTTTGTTTAATCTGCTCTCAGTTAATATAAAGAGAGACTGCCTGTCCACTTTTTTTGTTGTTGTTTTGTGTGTGTGTGTGTGTGTGTGTGTGTGTGTGTGTGTGTTTGTTTTTTTTTTTTTTTGTTTTGGTTTTTTTGTTTTGTTTTGTTTTTATGGCTGCTGCCTCTGCTCTGCAATGCTGGGATTAAAAGCATGCACCACCACATCCTTCTCCATGTTCATTTTTTAGCAGGCTACAGTTAGAGGTGCTACTGAGAACCTTAGAGGCGCAGTCTTCCTAGCTTCTCTGAGAAATGTGTAACATTAGCACTCATCACAGTGATGTCTCTGGGCATGGTGGTACATGCCTTTAATCCCAGCACTTAGTAGGGAAAGGCAGGTGGATTGATGTGGGTTTGAGGTCAGCCTGGTCTACAAAGAGAGTCCAGGACAGCCAGGGCTAAACAGAGAAACCCTGTCTCAAACAAACAAATAGAACAAAACAAAACCTCCCAAAACCAAACCAAACAAAATAACAGTGACATTGGCTATGGTGTAAGGCCTCAAATTCAGGCCCAGCTCTATGTGCTGTTTTCACTTCTGGTACAACTGCACCAAATTCAAGGCCCTGCTCCCAACTCTGCCTTTCCAGATGAAATTAAGTGCCCCTAGCTAAAAAGTCATTTTCATCAAGTGAAAGCACAGTTCCTGTTTGTTTCTACTTGGTCCCAGCAGCCCATGGAATCATACAAACAAGTCAAATTTGCTGTGGGGCCCAGGGGACATTTTATCCTTGATACTACAAAGCCAGCCCACTGCTTTCTCTTCCCAAGTATTATAACCCCATGTGCTCTGTGTAGCACGTCACCTCCTCTGCCCTGAGCTGTGAGCCCATGAGACAAACAGACTGCTGTCAATCTCATCTAATCGTGATCGTGTGGCGTATGTTCAGCCAAAACCCTCTGGGGTAAATCCTCTCTCACTGAAGAGAATATTGAGAAATAACTAAAATATAAATATGGCAAGAAGACCTCCCACCAGGAAATGCCCCCCCCCCCCCCCCCATAACATGCTTCCAGGCTAGTTTTTCTCTTCCAAGTAGAAGTACAAAGATTTAGTGCCTGGTTTCATCCAGACTGAGAACATCATGGCCAGAGTGGGAGGCTCAAAAGAGAAGACAAACAGCAAACCGAATCAAAGAACCTATGTCTGTCCAGCAGCCACTGTGGAAGTCAGTAGTCTACACAAAAAACGAGACACTTCTGGCGTCACACTTGACTAGAGACACTTGTAGAGCCATAGAAGCTGGCGATGGTCACCCTCTTCACAAAGGCTGCCCCCTCCATGCTTCCCTTAGCCTCTGAGCTCTACCTTCTTTGACATGTGGTGGGTCATGCTCAAGTCAACACATAATCTTGGTCCTGAGTGTTTGGCTTCCAAAAGTCTCTCTTTGGTTAAGGCTTTCAAAAACCGTTTGCTGTGCTGTGGGCTGGTGCCTGCAACAGAAATACTAGAGAGGATTAAGAGTAGGGACAGCACAGGCACTAGATCAACAATTAACAAACAATTAACAAACCTCATGAAACTGAGAAGCTGCTGTACGACAAAGGACCCTGTACTTCAACAAAGTGGCAGCTAGAGAACGGGAAAAGATTTTTACCTACTACACATCAGAGAGAGAGCTAATATCTAAAGTATAGAAATAATCAAAAATAAAACTAGGAATTAAAAAAAATCAAATAACCCGGCTGGGTGGTGGTGACACAGCCATTAATCCTAGTACTTAAGAGGCAGAGGCAGACAGATCTCTGTGAGTTTGAGGCCAGCCTGGTCTACAGAGTAAGTTCCAGGATAGCCAGGGCTATACAAAGAGACCCTGTCTCGAAAAACAAATGAGAGAGAAAGAGAGAGAGATCAAAAAAAAAATAAAATAAACAAATTAAAATACAGGGTACAGATGTAAATTGAGATTACTCAAAAGAGGAAACTCAAATGGCTGAGAAAAAAAAAATGTTCAACATCCTTAGCCATCAGGGAAATGCAAATCAAAACTACTTAGAGATTTCATCTTAAACTCATCAGAATGGCTAAGATCAATAAAACAAGTGACAGCTCATGCTGGCAAAGAGGAGTAAAGGGAACACTCATCCATTGCTGGTGGAATGCAAACTTGTACAGCCACTGTGAAAACCAATGTGGCAGTTCCTCAGGAAGATGGGAATTGATCTACCTCAAGACCCAGCTATATGACTCTTAGGCATATACCCAAAAGATGCATCATCCTACCACAGAGACACTTGCTCAACCATGGTCATTGCTGCTCTATTTATAATAGTCAGAAACTGGAAACAAATGTCCCTCAACAAAAGAATGAATAAGGAAAATGTGGTACATTTACACAATAGAGTATTACCCAGCCATTAATGACATCATGAAATTTGTAGGTAAATGGATAGTACTAGAAAATAATCATCCTAAGTGAGGTATCCCACACCTAGAAATACAAATATGTTACATATTTGCTCATATGTGGATATTAGCTGTTAAGTCAATGATAGCCTAGCTCCACTCCATAGAACCACAGAAGTCAGATAGAGTAAGGGAATAGGGTGTACAGGTAGATCTCATTAGGAAAGGGAAATAAAACAGACAGCAATGGATGGATGGGGGGTCTGGAACAGGAGGATCAAGTGGGCAGGAGGAATACAGGAGAGACAGCTAAAATTAAGGGCCATTTGAGGGGCTGTACAGAAACCACAAACCTAATACAGTAGAATCTTCCTAAAATATATACACATATGAAGCTGATCTAAATTAAAGGGAGACAGCGTCCCAACTGGCCATCTCTTGTCACCAATGAATCTTCCAGTACTGGGATTAGGTTATATCTCAGTTGTTGGCCAAAGGGATCCCACTGGAAATCTCCAAACAACCCAGGCTGTTGCCAAGACTATAGGTTGCTCTCCACAAACTGACAGCAAGGCCCAGTTGGTGAAGACAATACCTACACAACTCACTGAACATGGATGGAGAAGTTGATCTGGTGTCTATGTAGAGCCTTCACCTCTACATTCCAATGTCTTTGGTACAGGGAAGTATTATGCACACTCCCAAAAGAGTAGCATAAACACCAAGCCAGCCACAAACCCTTTGATATACAATGGTGTCCTAGCTGCAAAATACACTAGGGCAATATTGGCACAAAGCTTGTGGGATAACCAATCAACATCTGATTTGACTGAAGGCCCCTCCACAAGATGAAACCCATATCTGACACAAGAGGCAGAGACTAGACAGCTCAGGGACCTAGCATAAAACCAAACTACTGGTCTAAAAACAAAAACAAAAATACATAGCAATAAAATGACTTCTAATGACATTCTGCTGTAGTCATGGGTCAGTGCTTTGCTCAGCCATCATCAGAGAAGCTTCCTCCTGCAGCAGATAAAAAAAAAAAAAAAAATACAGAGACGCACAGGACATTACGCAGAGAGTAAGAGACCTTGGAACATTCAGCCCTAAATGGGATGTGCCCACCAAATCCCTCCCTTCAGGGCTCAGGAAACACCTCAGGAGAGGATGTGAAAAAGTTTTAGAGCCAGAGGGTATGCACCAAAAGCAAGGTCCTCAACATAATCAGAGTTCATATGAACTCACAGAGACAGGCAGCAAGCACAGGGCTGTGTGGGTCTGCACCAGGTCCTCTGAGTAAATACTGTAGCTCCCAGTTGAGTGTTATGGGATTCCAGAGTGGGTCTTTGATTCTTGTGTTTTCTCTTGGGCTCTTTTCCTTCTGTTTGTTTCTCTTGTCCAACTCCAATGTGACAATTTTTGTTTTATCTTAATCTATCTTGTTATATTTTATTATTATCCCTTAGAAGCCTGTTTGTTTTCTCATGAGAGATAGAAAGGTGGGGGGGGATCTTGATTAACGTACAGAGGGAGGAAGTGGGAGGGGAGCTGTAATCAGAACATATTATGAGAGAAAAAAAAAAATCTTTTTTTTTTTTTTTTTTGGTTGGCTTTTTGAGACCAGGTTTCTCTGTGTAGCCTTGGCTGTCCTGGACTCATTTTGTAGAGCAGACTGGTCTCAAACTCACAGAGATTTACCTGCCTCTGCCTCCTGAGTGCTGGGATTAACAGTGTGTACCACCACCACCTGACCAAAGGCTGGCTTTTAAAATACTGATTTTGTGTCTAGCGTCCTTACTGGACTTAACACAACAGCTATTTTTGTACAACCCATGGAATTGTCTATGCAGAGAAATCTCTTTTATTTTTGATGGGAAGTGTGTACTCTGGCACACAGACAATGTGTTAAATTCACTTCTGTTTGTTCATTTATTTATTTTGAGCATATTATCTAATCTGAACCCATCTCTTCTACAAAAAGGGGATAATAATAGTTTGTAGCAGCCCTGAGGTAATCTATGCATGATTTTAGGGCAGCACATAGCATGAATAAGTATGAGCTACTGCTGGCATAATTTCTTCTGCTTCTGAGTTTACAAACACAAATGTTCTCTTAGCTTTACTTTAAAAGCAACCTTTAAGTTCACACTGGTACTCTGATTTGCAAAAGAACTGAATAATAGACCCTCCTTTCCCAGCAACGTAAAAACATGGGTTTGCTGCCCACGTTTATGGTTACCTGGGTGCTCTGCATGCTTGGCTTTCCTTCTTTCTTTTTCCTGCTTCCTTTTGCTCTTCTTTGAGGAGATTATCCTTTCCCAGTGTCTCTGTTTTCTCTGCACATTTTTCTTTCATTATCCAGAAAACAAAAGTGTTTGAGAACTTCATAAGAACCAGAAAGGAAAATGGACATCAGAATCACCTTCTTTTCATTTACATATAAAGATAAAGAGGAAAAATATTTTTTGTCTTAAAAACAAACCTACTGGCTTGTGTTCATTTTAAATTTTACCACTATAATCTTCTGCTACTTTATTTTCATTGGTGTATATTCACTGTGCACAGGGATGAGTTATTATTGCATTGCTCGGGATCTTGCTTGGGACCTGACCCAAGGCCTTGAGCATTCAAGGCAAGAGTTCTCACTGAATACTATCCCTGCCCAGGTTATAATCAGTGAGAACATCACCCTCACCCCACCAACACAATGGTGACTTGCCCAAGGTTATAAAAAACTCATTTCAGACAGAATCTTTAAAACAGTTTAGAGTCCTTGATCCTTTCTGAGGCATATCAAAATTTCTTTAAAATTTTTATTTACATTCTTATGACTCAAAGGAAAATGAAACCTTAATCCAACTAGCAGGGAATGGAGTCACCATTTCGAACACAGAATTCATTCTCAAGTTCCTTAATCTCCTGGCTCAACCCTTAGAACAGGGTTCTCTGGGACACCCATCACAGCAAGCTCACTACACCCACCGAGCTCCACACTTCACTGTGTGCAGGACTGGCCTCTTCCTCCTGGTGTTCATATTCCACCTCCATCTGCAGGAGCCGGAAGCCTTCAGAGAGTCCATCTTCACCTCCATCCTCTGGGAAGCCTTCCTGTCCCTGCAACGCCTGTGGGTCTGTTCTCTGAGCACTTTCTTCCAACTTACAGTCCATGCGTTTACGTCACTTATGCAGCTAATTTCCTACATCCAAAAGACAAACAGTGCTACCGTGTTAGTGATGAGCAGGTATACAATACTGACCCAGACTGACTGAACTAAGAAAAGCATGCTGGAGAGTATTCCAGAGAGATAATTCAGCAAGGCAAGCTCAGCAGTAAAGAAACCGAATACACCTCTTGGAGGACAAGGACTGAATCCTTCCAAGCTATCAGTACACACCCACAGAGAGCCAAGTTTTGATTGTGTTCTTTTTGGAATGCAGTCTGTCATTGTGATTCAGTTTACTTTCAAATCAGTCCTTTAGCAAATATTTCCTAAGCATCTATCACATACAAGGTCCTGAGCCAGTGAAAAAGTACGGTAGGTTTCTGGGGGTTTGGTGACAGGTTAAACTTTTTTCTTTCCTCTTTTTAATATTTATTTATTTATTTATTTACTTACTTACTTACTTACTTACTTACTTACTTACTTACTTACTTATCTATATGAATGTTCTATCTGCATGTACACCTACATGCCAGAAGAGGGCATTTGATCTCAATATCAATAGTTATGAGCTACCATCTATATTGCTGGGAATTGAACTCAGGACCTCTGGAAGAACAGCCAAGCGCTCTTAATGGCTGAGCCATCTCTCCAGCCCTAGAACTTCTTTTTTTCAAGCCACAAATCAATCCTATATCTAAGAACTACTACAAGGGGATGCCAGCCACCACTGAGGACGTGTAATAGCCCTTTAAGGCCTGAGGCTGAAAAACTGTGCGCAGCACTGTAACTGCTGTGTTCAACGTCCCCAAACTGAGAAGCCAGTGAGGCTTGTGCAAGCTGCCACACAACTCACAGAGATCCGCCCACCTGCCTCTGCCCAGACGCCTGATCTAAGAGCATTCACCATCATGCCCCACTAGTTCAGGCCTTCTTAAACATTTTCTACAAGTAACCCCTTTTGACCCGAGAACAAATTTAAATTACATTAGTCATTTATTATTAGTATGTGTGTACATGATCTGTGTGCATATGATGTACTGGGGTATACATGGACAGAGTGAACGTGAAGATCAAAGGAAAACTGAGTAGAGTCAGTTCGCTCTTCCCTTTCCATGGAATCTGAGGACTGAAAACAGGTTATCAGGCTTATATAGCCATTGCCTTGACTTCCTGGGACATGCTGCTGGCTCTCACCCAAGAAATCTTAAGCAAGTCTCAGTATATAGTATATACAAGCATATATAATACATACATACATACATACATACATACATACATATCAAACAACTGGTAATAAATCACAAAGAAATTCATTTTAAAACAATTAAATTTCATTTTTGTTCCTCATGCCTTTCTAAATTCTATAGTTCCTGAAGATGTTTCTCATACCAGGAAATCAAATAAAGATAACACCAGCCGCTACCTTAAGAATCTATCTTATATCTGACTGCACACTCCTGAAGGCAGAGACTTTTCTTCAGCTTTGCACCTTTGGAGAACAGAGTTTTGAGACTAATTTGGACCACCTAAAACCCTGTCTCAAAATAAATAAAAATTCATGAAATACATATTTATAAATATGTAGCAATAGATCTATAAAAGCATTTAAATGGTTTTTTGTTTTGGTTTTTCAAGACAGGGTTTCTCTGTGTAGACCAGGCTGGCTTTGCGTTCACAGAGATCCACCTGCCTCTGCCTGGGACTAAAGTACTGGAATTAAAGGCATGAGCCACCATGCCTGTTGAGCACCTAAATGTTTGGAAATTATACTACTCTTCTGCCTAGAATCAGCAGTATTTTCCCATTTCATTTATTGTAATCCAAAATTGACACGCTATCTACACAGATCATTCATTAAGGGCTATCCCTTCCATCAATTTTTTTTTTCTAAAAGATATCTATCTATCTATCTATCTATCTATCTATCTATCTATTTATTGGCTGGCAGGGACTCTGTGTAGCTCAGGCTGGCCTCCAATTCACAGATGTGACTCATCTCTGCCTCCTAAATGCTGCGGTTAAAGGCCTAAACATTTATTTTACTTTTAAAAAAATGTATGTATGTGGCTATGCGCACGTGAGTAAAGGTGTCCACGGAAATCAGAGGCATGGGACCATCTGGAGCTGTAATTACAGGAAGTCATGAGTCGCTCAGTCATGGATGCTGAGAACCAAACTCTAGTCCTCTGCAAGAGCCATGGTTCCTGCTACGCCCTCTCCATCGATTTTCTTTTGCTCTCTCTGGTCTAACTAGTCCTCAAACATACTAAATATCCTGATGTCTCTGCATGAATGTGTTCTCTCTGCCCACAGTGCTCTTGCTTAATCTCACACGTCCTCAGCTCACGCATTTTTTCGCTATCCAACACTACCTACTATTTTTATTTCCCCACACCCTCACAAGTAAATGTTCTGTTTACTTAGACTCTCAATAAATACTTAGCACTAATACTTCCATCCCCGCCTCAGACCTTTTTTAGCCTACGTCCCACCTACGAGCACAAACGCCGTCGCTAAGTGTCCAGTCATCCTCTCCTTGCCTATGTCTCCCACTTTCTCATTCTGGGCAGTGGTGCCCCAAAGGGGGCTCCACCGCCCTACACCTTCAGCACAGAACACCTAACCTAGACTGGACCCCAGGCCGCAGGGAAAGCGGGTCCCGCTGACCCGCGGTCTGGAACCGAGGGAAGGCAAGACCCAGAAGTCCCAGGGCTGTGGGGTGCCGCGGCCTCTGGGCGGGACCCCTAGTCCCCAAGCCAACCCTCAAAACCAGCCCCAGGCGTACCTGACACTCACACCTTGCTCAGAAGAGAGTAAAGAACACTAAGGCTCGCCCCGCACCACTACTTCCGGTTTCTGATCAGCTTTGAATGGCATTCTGGGAGTTGTAGTTTTCAGTCTGGCAACGCAACAGAGGCTTGCCAGTAGGCTGGGTGGGCTTTCTACACGCTGGGTTAATTGAATTCCAGCAATTCCAGCTCCTCGCAGACCTTACCCAGCTCAAACAGGTGACCAGTCACTTTCTGGCTAGCTAGACAGTGCAAAACTGGAGTGAACCAAGCTTTCAACCACCTACCTAGTCTTCTGTCAGTAGGGGGGTCCTTATGTTTCCTTGGGTTTCCGCTCAACTAGCAGGGGCCATAAGCTAACACAGCCTTGGCTGAGGACACAGTGGTCCCTATGCTGCCAAGCAGTCCAACTTCAAAACCCAGACAAGATTTAGCAGGCAAGGAGTCTAGCGGCTTACATCCCGTGTACATATCTCCCTTCACAGATGAGCTCAGGAACAGGCTCAGACGCAAGAATCCTGTCTTTATTTTTTAAAGATGTGTTTTTGTTTATGTGTATGGGTGTTTTGTCTGCGTGTGTGTGTGTGTGTGTGTGTGTGTGTGTGTGTGTGTGTGTGTGCGCGCTTCGTGTGTGCCTGGTATTTGGGGAAGCCAGAAGAGGATATTGGATCCCCCACCCCAGGAACTGGAGTTACAGAGAGTTATGAGCAGCCATGTGATGGCGCTGGGAATCAAGCCCAGGTCCTCGGCAAGAGCAGCCAATGCTCTTAACTGCTAAGACATCTTTGCAGTCCCTGACCCCCCGCCTTGTGTTGATATAAATATCTGCTACTTTCTGCTGAACTCCTTATAACAAATGAGCCTGAGTTTTCTCCCTTTAAGGAACCCAAAGCCTGGTTGCATTCCTTCTTGGTGCACTATTTTCTCCTCTGGGACTTTTCTTTGCACAACTCCCCCCCAAATCATATTTCAATCTAATTAAAAACAAAATAAAACAAACAATCAAATAAGGCTCTTAACCAGAAATAAATAAATAAATAGATAAATAGATAATAAATAAATAAATAAATAAATAAATAGATAGATAAATAATAAATAGGAGGGAAAGCTGGGTGCAGAGGCACACCTCTGTAATCCCAGTACTCGGAGAGGAGGAGGCAGGGGGATCTCTTGACTTTGAGGCCAGCCTGATCTACAAAGTGAGCCCAGGATAGCCAAGGCCACACAGAGAAACCCTGTCTGGAAAAAACCCAAATCAAAACAAACTAAAATAGTCTCTTATGTAACCCAAACTGACCCCAAATTCACTATCCTCCTGCTTGATTACAGTTGTCTTCCACCATGCCAAGTGCTTTGATTTTTAAAGGATAACACATCCTTTTCTCCTACACAGCCCAGCTCTACCAGTTCCTTTCTGTTTCCTGCTGGCTCTGGGTTTCCATTGCCTGCTGGCATGCTTTGGTGCAGCTTGCAAAGCGGGTCAAATGGCCTTCAACGGTGTTTTTAGGGCTGATCTCACAACCATCAGTCTCGTTGCCTCATCTTGGGCAATACAGAACTCTCTACCCTCTATGCTCTGGTGATGTTTCCCCTCTCCCACGAGTAAAAAAGACCTCCTAGCTGGTCTTGCTGCTCCTGCCTCCACTTCCATACAGCCCCACCCTCACCACCAAACATGCCTCAGCAGTTTCCAGTGGTGCTTGGGTGTAGTAAGACCCAACCCTATCCCCAAGGCCTTGCACCATCCGACCCTGCAGCTTATCTGTTCTAACTGCTCTGCTCTCTCAACGCTTTAAACCCACCAAGGGCATTTGCACACTCTATTCCTTCTCCTCTCATAGTTTTCACAGCTGGGTTTTGTTGTTGTTGTTTTCAAGACAGGGTTTCTCTGTGTAGCCTTGGCTGTCCTGGACTCACTTTGTAGACCAGGTTGGCCCTGGACTCACAGAGATCTGCCTGCCTCTGCCTCCCAGAGTTCTGGGATCACAGGTGTGCTCCATCGTACCCAGCTGACAGCTGGGTTATTTAAGTGGTCATTATTATGTTTTAAAATTTATATGACTGTGTATGCCTGCAAGTGCCTGCGGAGGTCAGAGGAAGGTGACCAATCTCCAAGAACTGGAATTACAGCTGTTCTGAGATGCCTTATGTGGGTGCTGGGAATGAAACCCTGTTCCTCTGGAAGAGCAACAGGTGTTATTAACCAATGACCCATCTCTCCAGCCTCTTTACTCTTCAGCTTAAACTGTCTCTATTCAGAACAGCCTTTTTCAGGTACATTAGGTAAGTGATTCATCTTATTTTTCTTGACATATTTTTAAATAGTCACCTCCACACCAAAATTTTTTGTCTTTCCTACTAATTAGAAGTCCCTTGAGAGGTGGGCATGGTGGTGCACGCCTCTAATCCCAGTACTCAGGAGGCAGAGGCAGGTAGATCTCTGTGAGTTTGAGGACAGCCTAGTCTACAAAGCAAGTTCCAAGATAGCCAGAGCCATTACACAGATAAACCCTGGTCTTGAAAAACAAACAAAAAACCAAACCAAAACAAAGCTATTAAAAACACGATTCTCACCCTGCCTCATGTACTAAGTGTATCAAAGAAAGCACGGGACAGAAAGCTACCTCGGAGGTTTAGCTTCTTCATGAGCAACAAGAGCTTCTTACCATTTCTGGACCTTCCTTACTCTTCTTCATGGAAATAAAGATAAAGAATAGAGATAAAGAATAGCAACTAGGGCTGGAGAGTTGGCTCAGTGGTTAAGAGCACTGTCTGCCCTTCCAAAGGACCTGGGTTCAATTCCCAGCATCCACATGGCAGCTCACAATTGTCTGTACCACCAATTCCAAGGGATCTGACACCTTCACACAAATGCACATAAAATAAAATTATTAAAAAAAAAAAAAAAGAATAGCAACCAAAGAAAGGTGGAAACACTTTATTGAAAACCTCAGCTGCAGGCCTCAGTCTTCTTCTTCTCTTCCATAACTATTTCTTACAAAACTGTTAAACATGTAACAGTGTAAAATGTTATATTTTAGAATGTATTCAAACGATCTATATAAGGCTTCTGGCATACTGTAGGTTCTAGTTAACTGAACACAGTGTGGTTCAGGCCAGGCAGGATCCAGCCCTGAGTGAAGTCTCCCTGGTGAATGCAGAGACCCTGTCCACAGAAATAAGATAACTGGATCTTCCTAGAAGACGTTCCAAGTGCTGTTTCAGACCATCCAGCTCGCTTTCTAACCTGGTGCCCTGCTCCTTTTCAGTCATGGAACTACTTCAAAGTTGCATTCAAGAGCTTACAGTTTGTTTGAAGCTTTATAAAAAAAAAAAAAAAAAAAAGCTATTCTAGGGGGCTGGAGAGATGGCTCAAAGGTTAAGAGCACTGGCTGTTCTTCCAGAGGTCCGGAGTTCAGTTCCTAGCAACCACATGGTGGCTCACAACCATCTGTAATGAGATCTAGTGCCCTCTTCTGGCATGCAAGCACACATAATAAAATAAATAAATAAATCTTTAAAAAAAAAGCTATTCTAAAAAAATTAATCTTCTCCAGCACACATACTGATTAACTACTTACTGGCTGACAAGTAGCTGAAAGTTGGATGCAAGGGACTTGTGTTCCTCTCATTGCCCAAGTATGGCTTTTCTTCTGCCTGGAGGTGTGACTGACTCATCACTGATCCTGCTTTTGCTGGGTACGGCAAGGAATTAAGAGTACCTTACATAGTAGATCATTGACCTCACAATGTGTCAATAACAGGAGGGAAAAAGGACCTCCTTGACCACCTCTGATATCCCAAACATAGCCACCAAACCAAATCTGACCAGACAAGAGAAGCCAGAACAAAAGGTGGCCTAAAGAAATCTCGAAATGGATTTGTCTGGGCTGGGAAAGCAATGTGTGTGTTGGGGGTGGGGCGGGGTGGGGGTGAGGAATGACTTCAGACTAGGAGAAACACCTGTAAATACCAAGCATGGTGACCACTACTCACTGACAATTTACTGTGCTGTTTTCTAGATTTCTCACTATCAAGCGGACAGTATGAGTCTTCTCGTGTCCAAGACAGAAAATCCAAACCACAAGGAGCTTAAGCAGCTTTTCCATGCCCGTGATGTCTTAGTAGGATTAACTTGATCAGCTTCGGTCGGTGATAAAAGTACTGATCATATTTCTGCTGCTCTACTCTTAGTCCAATAGTGACAACTTGACTCTTAGATTTAACGTTTGCCTTACAATATTAAAAGCAGAAACAGGATGCAAGAGTCGGGGGGGGGGGTACAGTTTCAAATAAAGCACAGAATAACCCTGTACACGGTGACCAAGCAGCTAAAGTTGCGGTTCTCAATCTGGGGATCACGACCCCTCTCTGGGGTCAAACAACTTATAGAGGCCACATATTTACATTACAATTGATAACTAGAAAAATTGTAGTTATGAGGTAGCAACGGTAGCTTTATGATTGGCGCTCACCACGTGAGGAACTGCTCTAAAGGGTCGTGGTCTTGGGAAGGTTGAGAACCACTGAGCTAGAGCATTTCCTGCCACCTAGTGGCAACCTGTGCTTGCGGCAGAGAGGCCGCCGAGAATGAAATGAGACCGAGGTGCTTGCTGCAGCTCCAGTCTTGGGAAGGTCGAATCGACCAATGACATGTATTTACCTGTTTGCAAAAGCTAGTGCAGATTAACATAACTGCGGCCAGCCAAGACTGTTTTCAGCAATTCCTAAGTTCCTGGGGCAGATTCTTAGGGTTGTTTGTTTGTTTGTTTGTTTGTTGCCCGATACCTGCTGGTATCAGGTACCCCAGCACATTCTGATCAGGGAAGAATGTTGTGTCATACACCCTGTTATTTCTCAAGTTCCTCGTCCAGGCCTGGTGCAAAGGGAGTGAATGTCTGTTGAATGAATGTGAGTGAACATTTTTTAATCCGAATTTACCACCACACAGAGCAAGACAGACCAAGGTTAAGCAGCAGTTTATTTGAATATTCTATGTAGTAAACATGTAACGGAGGTGGGAGGAGAGCTGGAGGAGGCTTCTTGGAGAACTTTCCAGGCAGGTCAAGGGGCCCTCGGTAGGTGACGTGTTCACAGAGCAGTGGATGCCCGGAACTTCTGGGTCAAACAGAACACAGCAGCTGTGAGGGCTGTGCATTGGCGGGCCAAGAGTTTGACGCTGAGGTCGTGGTAGCCCCTCTCGCAGGTCAGTTTCGCAGCCTCCACGAATTGGTGGTAGGTACAGACCACGTCCCTCAGGTTCCCAGCCACTTCCCTGTGCCGGGTGGAGCAGCGGCTACAGTGCGTGAACTGGAAGCAGAGGCCGGCCAGCTGGACCAGGTGCTGGAAGGTGACTCGCACAGCGCCCTGCATCTCCTCAGGGGACTGGTCCATTCTGATCACATGTTGGCAGCTGGAGAGGAGCTTCTGCGAACCCATGCACAGGCGGCTCCGGCTTTCTGAAAAATGCCAGGTGCATTTCTCAGGGGGGTGTTTGTTGCCAACCCCCCAGGAAGCTTCCACAATGTCCTGTAGCTCTAGCAGGCTCTCTGTGAGTTGGACAAAGCCCTCGGGGGCACTTGCAGGGACAGTTTTTAGTTGCCTCAGAGCCCTGGAGCAATACTCTGGCCAGATGTGGTTTTTCCTGGACAGGGGTGTGGTGCAGCTGTACGCACGGGCTGACCTCCAGGGCAGAGTCACCTCGCTTCCTGCAGAGGGTGGTGAGGTAAGGGGGGCAGCAGGGTGTGTTTGTGGGTCCCCGTTTTCTTCCTCTGTCTCAGGCTGCGGGCCACGGAAACATGTGGCATAGGAGAACTGACATCTGCAATGCTCTATGCCAATTCCAGCAGGCACTATTTCATTCATGCCAGCAAAACCCAAGGAGCTGGTTCTGCTGAGACTGGCGGAGCCTTCAGGATAGCTCTCTGGGGCAAAGCACAGGAAAGACCTCTCAGGTGGAAGGCAAATGACAGGACTGTCACACTTGCTTTCTGCTGGTGAGCCATGGCCTGAGTCTGCTGAGCGCGGCTCCTCCTGACATGGCGAAAGCTTTGGCAGAGAAGGTACTGTAAGGATGCAGACCTGCTGAGGGGGATCCATAGGGACTGTCTCTTCCCCTATCACACAACTAAGCTGCTCTGCCTTGACTCTATCTGGAGGGAAGGCTGATGGAATGGCCTGCACCCCACGTAAGAAGTCAGGGCCCAAGTCCAGTTCTGCCAATAGTTCCTGTTCCTGGCTGGCCTGGCCTATGGCTTCTCTCTCTTCTCCATGGGAGTCAGGTGGGGTCTGTTCTATCCCTGTTCCAGGAGTCTCTGAGGAGAGGGAACCGGTTATTTCACCAGCGAGAGCACTACCATCAAGAGCCTCTGGAACACTATCTGACCCCTTACCCTTGAAATCACCCAAGTCCTTCCCAAATCCCTTCTGAAATAAGTTGGGGCCATTTTTGTGTGTTGCTTCACTGTCACTTTCCAAAGATAGCTGTCCTTGCAGCACCTCTTCTGCAGCAAAGACCATCTCTTCTGAGTGCATTCCACATTGATCACTTACAGGCCCATCTCCAGGACACAGGGGCCCTGTGGACTTGGGGGTAACTTCTTGTATATGATTTATTACAAAAGATCCCACGTCCATTTCTGACTGTACCCCTTCTGGCTCTGCTGGGTCCTTTTGAGGGATGTGGTGAGGCCCTGGGCTGCCTGGATTAGGGTCAGCCACAGAGAGAGGGACGGTGCTATCCTCAGGCCCCGGGGTGAGTTCTTTGGGGGTGGTGCCACCTTGGTCTTGAGATAAGATTTGGAAAGGCCTGACCTGAGCAGCCTGTGGGCTGGAAGAACCTGGGTTGGAACAATGGGGGTTGTGAGGGACCTTTGTCGAGGGACCATCATCAGTGGTGACAGCCAAGGGAGCAGTCTCGGGAGTCTCTGTGTTGTTGGGGTCAATACGGAGACGAATGGCAGAGATGGAAGACACTCGAGAGTCAATGACTGACTTGGTTTCCATGGTCTCCGGCTCCATCTCCATGATCCTGGAGGCTGGATTTTTGTTCTTTGTCTCCCTTAGGGAAGCCAGCAACCCCAAGGCCTTGGTCTCTAGGAGGCCTGGCTCACCTTGCATGTCCTGCAGGGAGGACACAGTTGGGGAGGGGGTGGTGAGGGTCAGGTAGGGCTCTCTGTTGTAGTAGCACACGTCATCCACGTTTTCTTGGGAGGCAGATGGCTCCATGGGGAAGGAGACCTGGCAGGTGTGGTCTGTCTGTAGGAAGGACCTCCTTTTCCTCAGGGTCTTGGCATACTTCTTCACCCCTCCCCGCCTGCTTGCTTCTCCTCCCTCGGGGCCCAGATGCAGGCTTTCCTCGGAGCCACAGGATCTAGGCTGAGTCTGCAATTTCACTGCACTGAGACTGGCAGTTCTCGGCCCTGAAGGTCAAAACAAGGAAAATCATGTGATGCACAGAGAAACAGAGAGGTCGTCCATGCTCAGGCAAGCACGCAGGCTGGTGTGGATTCAAGCCCTAAACCTTGGGCAACTGAAATTTCCTCTCCCTCAGTCTCCCCGTTTGGCAGGTGGGGATAATGATTGCAGTAGACAAAAAAAAAAAAAAAAAAAAAAAAAAAAATTTATGTTGCTTGTTCAAGACCCATTTACTACCTTTTAGCCATGGAACCCCAGACTTCTTTTCAGAGGCTGACATCTCCCCGGTGGTTGCACTCTGACGGACACCGGTGGTTCTGGAGATCAAACTCAGAACCCTATGCGTGCTGGGCAAGTACTCCGTGTTCTAATCGCAAACCACAGGACTGTTCATTTACAAGAGTGAAGTAACGAGAGTCACAGTCCAGGCAGCCAGCCACAGATTCTCCAGAATTTCAAAACCCAGACACATTCATTAAAACAAAACAAAACAAAACAAAACAAAACAAAAAAAAAAAAAAAGGGAGGGTATTAAAGAGATGGCTCACAGGTGAAGAATACTGTTTTCCAGAGAACCTGGGTTCAAGTCCCAGAACCCACATGGTGGCTCTCAGTCATCTGTAACTCCAGTTCCAGGGAATCTAATATCCTTTTCTGGACCCCTTGGACACTGTACACACATAGAACATAGACATGTATGCAGGGAAAACACCCATATCCATAAAACTAATTTAAAAAATTAATGAAAACAAAACTACATGTGATGGTACCTGTTTATAAGCTCAGCACTGAGAAGGCCCCACAAGTTTAAAGCCAGCCTGGGCTATATATTTGAGTTTCTAGCCAGCCTGGGCTATATGTATATATAGAAAGAGAGAGTGACGTGGTATATTTATGATATATATATCATATATATATATATACCATGTCATTGTTTGCAGCCATAATACCCTGATAATACAGCCGAGGAATGCTGCAGCAAAGACTTCTGGCCTGGCTGTCAGCCATGTCTAAACCCAGTTCTTCAGGCTAGCTCGCAATTTGGCTGGCTCTTTGTCGGTCAAGCTTTTCTTCTGGTACACATAGCTGCCGCTGCTTCTGTTATTACTTTTATTCTACATGGGAAGGGTGTGAGGATGCTTTCTTTGGACCAACAGGGACCCTGACCCTCAGTAGTCAGGAGGAGTTTGCACGCAGTGGGCTGACCCTTCTCAGGAAAGGTGGTGTGTAAAAAGGTCTTGGGATTTGGGCAGAAGGAATCAGGACTGCATGCTAGCAGGGACAAGGAAGCCTGTACACTCAGACCAAATGTTGCTAACCTGTTTGTGTGATACTGAATGTGTGTGTGTGTGTGTGTGTGTGTGTGTGTGTGTGTGTGTGTGTGTGTTGGATTTTTTTATTTTATTATGTATACGTTGTTCTGCCTGCAGGCCAGAAGAGGGCACCAGATCTCATTATAGGTGGTTGTGAGCCACCATGTGGTTGCTGGGAATTGAACTCAGGAACTCTGGAAGACCAAGCAGTGCTCTTAACCTCTGAGCCATCTCTCCAGCCCGGTACTGAATATCTTATCAAGTTCTAGGCCACCGCTCAGACGTCCGAAGTCGGAAAGTCGGAACTGCTGAGATTAATACCTGGAACCGGCAGGCTAAACAAGGTTCCTCGGGTGACTCTGAGGTGTAGCCATGTTTGGGAGGTGCTGCTCTGGCTGCCAGCATCCACTGATAGTGAGCATCTGTGGAGCTACAGCGATCCCGGAGCAGGTCTAAAACTCAAGTCCCAAGTCTAGGCTCTGTGCTTTGCACCACACTGACGCCCTGCCTGTGGAGAGGTGCCTCCTGTGAATCCAAGTTCTGGACTATGTCACCATAAAAGAGTCCCACCTGCCAGTCTCGGCCACACCCCTCATCCTGTGGTTAGTATAAGGGCTAGCCCGGCAGGGGTAGTGAGAGCTCATGACGGGGTTAGCGGGGTTCTTGTGGCAGGGAGTGTAGCATACTCAGTGTTTTGTTCCCATGGTCTACATAACGAGTTCCAGGACAGCCAAAAAGCCACAGTGAGACAACAGAGAAAAACAACAGAACAAACACCAGCTTGGGTGGGGCACACCTGTAATCCCAGCACTCCGGGAGGCAGAGGCAGGCGTATCTCGGTGAGTTCGAGGCCAGCCTGGTCTACAAAGTGAGTCCAGGACAGCCAAGCCTACACAGAGAAGCCCCATCTCAGGAAAACAAAATGAAACAAAAAACAAAAACAAAAACAAAAAACCTCAACAAACAAACAAACAAAAAACCCAAACAGCCCCCAAGGAACAAGAAAAAATATTTAATCAAGTCAAGGTAGGTGGTGGTGAGTTCACTCGTTCGTTTAGTGATGATGCCAGGGTGCATATGCTGGGGACACTTTCCCGGCACTCAAGGAGCCTTTAAGCAATCATACAAGTAAATGTATAACCTCAAGCAGTACCAAGGCACAGGCGGAAAGAGCCACCACTACCAGGAGAACCCGTGACTGAGTTGGGCAGCTGACTTTGGTCTGGTAAACCTGGAAAATGTTCCCTGCAGAAGGGAATTCTTGGCTGAGACTGGACAGCTGGCGGGCACCAGCAGGAGAAGATGCGGCAGAGTAGCATGTACAAAGGCCAGCTGAGATGCAGGGAAAAGGCGTGGGGGGTGGGGAGGAAGAGGCAGGTAGAGGCCACCACACAGAGCCTCACCGGAAGCCCCTAGGAGCTGGGCTAGCTTTCCTGCCAAGAGCAATGAGAACCACGAGAGGGCAGTATCAGAGAGACACAGGAGAGCTCTGAGGCCGAGATCTCCTGCCTGTACTGCTTTCCAGGGTTTTTAACCTCAGAGAGCAGAGACAGATAATAAGACAGAGTATGTGTGAGTGTGTGTACATACGTCTTATAAGATTTTCCAGTTTTCTGTGTGGAAAGACCTTACATTGGTGTTTGGTTTATTTGAGATCATGAATTGTAGTTTAAAAACCTCACAATCTTTGTTGGGAAACATATAAAGAGCCCAGCCAACAGATCCCCAACCTTCTGATGTTGGGGACCCTTGGACTCCCAAAGGCCATCAAGCACCACTGATGGCCTATCTTATTGCTCCAAGGCCTGATTTCAAGTACCCCCAGGATCCGCAGAGGCACAGCTACTCTCTCTCCTGGGCACTCTATTCCTTTTCTGTGAGTCCTGTCTACCTGACAAGGCCCAGCCCATTTGACACCTCTTCTGGGACACCTTCCCTGGTTCCCACAGTGGGATGAATTCCTCTCATCTCTTCCTGCCTACAGTTCTCCAAACCTCCCTTGCAACCCAGACTCAAGGCCCTGATGCTTACATAATTTGGTTCATGGAATCCAGGTCATCCTCCTCAAGAGGAGAGGAGGCTGTGTCTTGCTCTCAAGCGGGCCGTGGGCTCCTAGAAACTAGCTAAGAATATGGATCTGCTGGGATAGGGGTGGGGCTCACCTGAGAGTGTGTCGGGGGGTGTGAGTTTGTCGGCTGCATCATAGTACTCCTCATCTGAGCTGCCATCCTCAAAGGCCAGTGGTGGCGTTGGCTGCAGGGCCAGCATTCCCAGCGTGGAGCTGGGCTGAGCCTCCATCCAGCCCTGCTGGCACCACAGTGGAGGTGCAGCTCCCTGCCGGGAAGCTGTACTCTCAGAGCTATCACTCAGGTGGCTTCCTGGGGAGACGCTAGAACACAGGCTATAGTAGTCAGTCCGGCTGCCCTCATACAACCTGGGGTCTAGCCTGCCCATGCTCAGGTCTGAGCCCCAGCTGCAGGCCTCTGAAGCTAGGCCCTGGGGACACTCTATCTTCTGGCACCCAGGGTTGGCATTCTGGGCAAGGTCCAGCAAACACAGGAAACCGCTGGTCTCAACCCTGATTTTTTCTTCTTGGCTGCTGGTATCAAGGCCCTTTGAAAAGCCTTGGGGGTCAAAATGGAAGAAGCTGTTTTTGCTGGAGGAGCATGCATCTAAGTCATCCTCTTCCAGGGCGTCCATGGACTCACTGGAGCCGCTGGTCCTGCAGCCTCGGCTCTCAGTGTTGGCTGAGTCAGAGGCCTCGGATTCAGCGCTGTCCGTCATGCTGCTGGCCCCACAGGTGCTCGGGCCTCTCCTGGTCACCTCCGGTGTGGGGCTATCTCCAGGGGGCTGATCCTCTCTAACGAACGGTCTGCAGAGGCTCAGCTTCACCAGGCGTCCGTCAGACAGGGGCTCCAGGACACAATCCACTTCAGAGGACTCCTCTGAGTCACTGCAGGCCCTAGACTCATAGCCTGTGACAGACGGGACAATGACTTACAAACCGACATCCAGACCTGACAGATACCCGTGTGACATCCTGCTGAGGGGGAGACACAGGAAGCGACTGACCCAAACCTCTAAGGGTCTCGGAAAAACTGTGTCTTTGAGAACAGCTGGAAGGCAATTAATGTCAAACCAAGATCACTACTGTTTATCCCGAGGTATAAAAACTCCTGCAGTGGGAACGAGAAGACATTCTGCCTGGAGCCCTCTTTATCAGTCACGGTCCCCCAGCAGACTTTTTTTTTTTTTTAACAAGCCTTCTCCAATCATTTCTGCTGGATGACATAAGAGCCGAGTCTGATGGTCGGCTATATATCTGCTGCTTGTTCTTTTACTTTTGCTTGCTATAGACTAATAAACAGAAAGCATGGCTGTCATGGACCGTTCCCTGCCGGAAACACATGCACGGCACTGACGGTACGACGGGGAATGTGGAGTTTTGTTTAAAGGCTATCAAGGACGTGGGTAAGTTAAATACCATTCCATAGGAAGGACTGAACATGTATGAATTTTGGTGAGCACCAAGGCTTGTGGAATCAGTCTCCCGTGGTTACTACAGATGGCACGGGTGACTGCATCTCATTTTCCAACCATCCTGGGGTGAACTAGGCCTGTTTTGCCCACATGATGAAACACTATGAAACGGTAAGATATGGAGCATCCCCGGCTGCCTCCACAGTCAGTAACACGTCGGCAGCGTGCAATGGTGGTGATGGAGGAGTGTTGGGCACTTGTTTCCGGTTAAGGATTTCCCCCTGCAGAGGCAGTTGTTAAACATTTGTCAGGGCAGCCCAGAAAAAGCCACATCGGTAGAATGGCTGAAGAAGCCTGGTGGTGACCGTAAACCGCCTGGGAACCTGTTTGTCTCTCCTGCCCTTTAATCTTTTTGTCAGCCTCCAACCCCCCGCCCACCGCTTCTTCCTCCTTTACGTGGTATAATTTCAAGTCTCTTTTTTTCTCCAGGTATCCCTTTCCTCCAAACACATAAGGCTGAGAATTTCTATCACAATTCAAGAGAATGAGAAAGAGTAAAGGCCCTGGTGAGAAGCAAGTCACCCACATTCTGAAAAAGTGACTTCCTTCGCTGAGAAATAAGATGCCGTGGTTCTTAGAGACGGGTCTGGGGAACTCCACAGGGAACCTTCTGGCATCCCTTGGCATTTAGGAGAATGCCAAGTACTAGGAAATCATCTCTAATATTTAAGAAAGATCAACTGCCTGGCTGAAAATACTGGGGAAAGGCTCAGCACCTCACCTTCTTCAGCAGACACCCGGTGGATCTGCTGTCTGTTTCCAGACCAGAGGAAAACAGAGTTGGCTGGGTCCACAAACAGCCTGTAGTACCCGGCTATCAAGCAGGCCAGGTCTTTTGCACTGTTGGATTCCAGCAACAATGTCAGAACCTGTGAAGGCAAACACAACTTTTCTGTTTGTAGAGGGCTAAGATACAATTAAGGCCTTATGGGGCCAAATAGAGAGACAATAAGTATACTTAGCCATGGTCCACAGACTGGCCCCAAAGTGACCCATCTTCTCACATCCAGGAGCTAAATCTAAAGGACTAAGCATACATGCATGCACACACAAACACACATGTGCATACCCTGACACACCGTAGGTCCCTGTGGCGGTTTGACTAGATTTGGCCCCCATAGATTCTTGTGTTTAAATGCTTGGCCCATAAAGAGTGGCACTATCAGGAGGTGTGGTCTTGGAGTAGGTGTACGGTTGTTGGAGAAGTGTGCCACGGTAGGTGCGGGCTTAGGTCTCCTAGGCTCAAGCTCTGGCCGGTGTAGCACACAGTCTCCTCTGCTGCCTTCCAATCAAGATGGAGAACTCTCCACTCCTTCCCCATCAACATCTGCCTGCACGCTGCCATGCTCCCCGCCACGACAATAGTGTACTAAGCCTCTGAAACTGCAGGCCAGCCCCAATTAAATGTTTTCATTTAAAAGGGTTGCCTTGCTCATGGCGTCTCTTCGCAGCAATGGAAACCCTAACTAAGATAGTCCCTCATGCCTAATCTATATATTGTCTCCTTTCTTTCTCTCCTCTATCCCACCACACCCTACCTGCCCCACCCACTCTGCTCATTCATACAACTAGTCCCCTTAAAGACCTGACCTACCACAGGAAAAGCTAGGTGAAGGAGCAGAAAAAATGAAGAAAAGGGTGATAAAGAACACAGTGCCATTCTTGAGCACGGTGGATGAAATCAAAGGAGGAGGGACTAGTGAACAAAGGGCCACCCAGAGAGGCAAAGGTGGTACCCTGAACTCTTTACTCATTTTAATTTCTACAAAACAAACTCTGGGTCCAGAACTTTTCATCAGTTAAACACATGGCCCAACAAATAGAACAAAACCTTGTCGAGAGCTTCTCAGGATAATGTATCTTCTATCTGCCATTTTCCACTTGAGGCAGGCCCTTTCGGCCAGATAAACAGTCGACTTTATTATGTCATATAAAGTCCAAGTCTCATACACAAAGCTCATATAAACTACCCTAGAATATTTCACAGCAAATTTCAGGAGCCAAATTCGGAATCCCTTCTCCTGTGTTACCTTAATGTCCTGAAGGTAGACCTTGACCATGCTCACTTTCTCAGACTCTTCCGTCAGCTCCACGCGGCTGATGTTGGCAAACTCTGCCAGTGTGGACATGATGTTGAGTTTGCTATTGATGATCTGGCTAATCCCATACTTGGCTCCAACTAGAAGGGCAATGTAGGATTCTCTATCCTGTAACTGTGGAAGAGTGGAAGGGAAGTTAGCTTGTGAAAACACAAATACCCTGCATACAGTGTTCTTCTTTACAAATTCTTTTTTTGGGGGGTGAGGGGGTGTTTTTGTTGTATAGTCCAGGCTGGCCTCAAATTTATGGTCCCCCTTGCAGTCTCCTGAGTGCTGGGGTTAGAGTCTGTGCCAGGCCTGACTTCTCTCTCTGCCAAGTCTGTTTCCCACTTTAGACCCTCACAACCATTCCCTGAGACTACTCTTCAGCATGGGGGCTACCCACAGCTAAATTAAAAATAAATTTATCTCCTATAAAGTCTCTATTTTTTACTATTTTAAAATTATGTGGGTAAGTGTGTCTCTGTGAACAAGAGTTCAGTGACAAGGGAGGCCCGAAGAGGTTGTTGGATTCCCTGGTACTGCAGCTGCAGGCAATGGTGAGTGGGAACTGAACTCAGGTTGTCTGCAGGAGCAGTCAGTGCTCTTGACCCCTGTAATCCCACAGCTTACACTCAGAGTTTACAGTACATGTTAAGTTCTAGGACAGTGCAGGCTGTATTATTCTATGTTTGTAGTCAAGCCCTGAGCCAGCCTTGTAGAGCTGGCTGCCCTTTCCTGGTACCAATTCTTCCCAGAGACAGGAAAAGTAAAGGCAGGCTCGGGAGAGGAGAGCCAAAGCCTGTAGGGACACTAGAAGCCTTCGAGTCCCTTCAGATCCCTCTGTTCTGTGATCTAGCCCCTCTCTCAACTTTGGGTCTTGACCTTTTACATAGATTCTTGCCATTTTTTTCCATTCCTCAAACTGCCCACTTCTCTTCTGCCTGTGTCATGAGGTCAGCAGTCTGACTGGACTGACCCACGACTAAAAATAAATAATAAAAAACATAAAACCTCTGAATTTTTTTCCTATTATTCTTCAAAAAAAAAAAAAATCTCTGCTGGTCAGTGGGCTCTGCGCTGGAAAGTTCCGGGGCTGGTGGCATGGTGGAGGAGCATGTCTTAAGCCCATGAACACTGACTGCTGTGGAGCTCGTGTGCAAGGCCGAGGCGCCACAGGAAGCAGGAGGAACGGGTTTGAGGAGAAGGGCTCTTCTCTTGTCTCAGGCCCACACCGCAGCTGATTTTTCTGCACCATCAGGACCCAGGCTGGCAGACAGTCCAATATTCACATCTCTTATTCGCTATTCCCCCTGTTGCCCTCACATACTGAAGTTCCCAAGGGTGCTACATACAACAGACTTCACAGTGCTTTTCCATTATTTTCCAGCCAGGCTCCACCCAACCATCTGAAAGCCGCCTTCTTCTTCTTCTAGGACCCAGACTAATTTAGCAATGGAGGCATCTTTCTTCCACCCCATGGCTTGCCTCATAGCTTTGCCTTGTGGGGTGGCTTATTTTATTCTCAAGGGCAGAAACCATACTAATTCATCTCTGCCTCTCCTAGCATCATCCACAGGGCTAACACCAAGCCAGGGCAAACACTGACAGACTGCAAATAACCAAGGCACCGAGCAAGCGGGAGTCCATGGTCGTCTGATACATACCATCAGAGTAGCATTAAAGACCTTCCCGCCATACGTCTTGAGCTCCCCAAGGATCTGAAGATAATTCAAGCGTAGCTGAGCTGCAGAAATAAGTTGCTTTGATAGACAAAAAAAAAAAAAAAAAAAAAAAAAAAAAAATAGAAAAAAAAAAAATTGATTTTCAAAAAAAAAAAAAAAAAAAAAAAAAAAAAAAAAAAAGTTGAAATCAGAGATATTCACTTGCCTAAAATCCAGGCAACACTGAAGATGACTCCCCCAACATTTCATGACAGACATCTGGGCAGGTGGCAGAAACTGCCACCGCCTTACCTTCTGTCGGGGTTCCAGCAGATTCTGGTTCCTCTTCATGTGGAAACTAATGGCTTTCTTGATGTCTTTGCCTTTCATATTTCGGAGTAAAGTTGGAGATATAAAATTCTCTATTCCCCAGTCTTTCCTGCCATGAGACATTGGAGACAAGGAGAACCATGTTTATACAGCACTTGGTTCTAATGAAGAGCAAATGCCACGTAATTCAGATCTAGAGTTCCGAGCATACAGCAGCTATGAGTACCTTTCTTTAGTGGGAGGAAGAGAGATAGGCCCAGAGACAGAGGTATAGATACAGAAAGAGAAGATGTCTATTTACGTATCTAAATATCATATATAATGATACATAGATAAATCTCTATTTATCTCTCTATGTATATCTCTCTATAAAAGGAGAGAGAAACAGAGTGGAGGGGTATTTCCCCACAGACACACGTGATCCACATTATAAACGTTCCGAGTTCAGAGCCCCCCGACCCCTGACCTGGAGACACACTGGTCTCTGTGTAGTGTGATATTTCATTAATCAAAGCAGAAGTTCTCAGTATCTTTTTCTAAATGCAAAATCACATTTTATTTATTTATTGTGTGTCTACACCGAGTCAGACTTCCAAGGAGAGTCTGAGCTGCTGTGCTTTAGCAAGTGTGTTCATGGGGAGTGGTCAGAGGGCAACTTGTGGGGATCGGGTCTCTCCGTCCAGACTGAACTCATCCTGTCAGGCTTGGCAGCAGGTGCCTTACCTGCAAAGCCCTCCAGCAGGCCTGCTCTCAGACCTTTTAATGACAAAAATGTGTGGCACAATTACCCATAGATAAGAACAACTCTCCCACCCTCTGCTGGTGAACAAACCCGAGGTTATACACATGCTAGGCTAGTACTCTACCACTGAGCTACGTTCACTGCCCAAGCACTCTTGCAACAGAGAGCACCTGTCAACCCCCAAGGCTAAGCTTTAGAATGTGATTAGCCTAGAAGCTACAGATTTCTCCCTAAAGTTCCTCCTTGACTCCTTATATCAGGGGTAGAACCAGGGATCTGAGCTGTTCTTCAAATCTGATTTCTCCATTTGATTTTGATGCCTAGACAAGCCAGAGCCGAGACTTGGGGAGGGGCTCAGCTTAACAGCTGCCAGCTCTCAGAGCTAAGAATCAAGAGGTACGTGGATCTTAGGACCTGAAGCCTCACCCATTTGGTTCAACAGCAATCAGTTCAGATCTGTTATAGGAATTAATTTCCAAGACATCCCTGCCCTTAGAAGTTGTCAACAGATGGCCTCAAACATGCTTCCAGGGACCGGAAATTTCCAAGGGGACCCTGTGTCAATGCATGAAGGAGTGGCTTTAACCCAGGCGGTGGGGAGCCGGGCTGGGTTAAAAGGGAAATGGAGACAAGGACTGAGGCAGATGGGTGAATCTCAGGTTTCTGTGGAGTCTGGCCACCCTGGCTAGGGGCCAGCAGTGGCAACTGTGACTCAGCTGCCAGGCCCGCCACTCACTCTATGTACTTCAAGGAGATCTTCTGTGGCTGGGCGCAGGCATAGGTCCGCTCCTGGATGTGCAGGGCTGCCAGCCGAAGGGCAGAGCTGCACTTCATCTCCACGGCAAAGCGCTCCTGGAGGACATCACTGCAGCTCTGCAAGAAGAGATTACACAGAGCAGCTGGGTAACACGAGAGCGCGCATTGCACCCTTAGTTCTCTCAGGCCAGAGGTGGCAGGACCAGCAGGCAGCTTTGAGGTACATTATTAAGACTGTCTGAGCAGGGCGCCTTCCACTGCTAATTACGTACTGACTACCTACGTGATCTACATTGCTCGATCTGTGGAGGTCAGAAAAGACAACGTGCAGGGATGTGGCCATAAAGCACACAGCAATATCTGAGTGCAAATATAATGCCCTGGCAGTATGGCTGCTGCCGTTATTATTATTTCCTGGTACCATTTCTGTAAGAGTTGGGCCAGTCTTACACCCAAACTGATTTGCCTCTTCCGTAAACTGGTGACATCTCTCAGGTGACTCTTCCCATCCAAATAAAAATAAACAAAATTCAGCTCATCTCAGGGCCAGGCTGGGAGTCAAGAAAGCAGATTTCTAAGCCAGGCCTGGTGCACAGGCCTTTAATCCTAGCACTCAGGAGGCAGAGGCAGGCAGATTTCAGAGTTCAAGGCCAGCCTGGTCTACAGAACAAGTTCTAGGACAGCCAGGGCTACATAGAAGAAACACTGCCTTAAGAAAGAAAGAAGGAAGGAAGGAAGGAAGGAAGGAAGGAAAGAAAGAGTGGGGAGGAAAGGAGAAAGGAAGAGAGAAAGGAAGGAAAAAGAAACCAGGTTTTGGCTCTACTACAAAGTGGGGGCCCCAGACACATGCCCATTCTAATACCCAGTTAGGTCATCTGTAACATGAGTTTCTGCAGCCCTAAAGCCCCGTTCAGCAATAAAAATGGAAACAATAACAGTGCCTAATGGCATTAGGAAAAAAGAAAACCAACCCTAACATCTGCCTTGAGGACGAAGCCTTAATTCGATTAGTCTACTGCAAATCTCCCATCACAGCAACTCAAAGCAGGAATAAAGGGCAGGAGTGAGACCCACTGTCCTCCAGAAAAAGGCAGTCCCCATGGGAGAGCTGTTTAGCTGCTACCAACCCACTGTCATCCCAGGAAGCATAGCCCGGTCACCTGTAGGTACAGATATTCAAAGGCCACTGGGTCCTCTTTCAGCAGGTCCAGAGGGTCCTTGGGAACAAAGCACACCCTGAAGAGGCAGCGGGAGTCCTGTGATTCTTCCCTTTCCACCACCTGCCCGGGCAAAGAAGATACTGTGACCTCGAAGCTCTCTGTACAGCGGCTTCACAAGGGAAAATGGAGAAAGGGAGGCCCCTTTCCCCAGACGGCACAGCCTTCCTTCTTAGCCGGACTTTTTCCCATGGTGCAGAATGTAAAAGATTCAAAGGGTGATGTCTCTCCTGTCAGAGGAACCCTGCCCACACCTGAATGGCCTCCCGGGGGGACAGCCTGGACTGCTTGCTTTGTGGTTCTGATGCGAAGCTCCCCTCCCCCAGCACATGTAAACACTTGGCCTTCAGTGGGCAGAGCTGTTCTGGGAGACTATAGAGCTTTCAGGAGGTGGGGCCTGTGTCTCCGACCCAGGGTACAGGCCCTGGGGTCTACCCTGGGTCTCTCCACTTCCTGTCAGCCACCACAATGCAACCAGCTACCGTAAGCCCCCAGCACCGCAGACAAGAACTGCTTCTGCTGCCATGCCTGGATGGCAGTGGCGTCCAGCTGTTTCTGCAACACGGCAGCCCCGTTCTGCAATAAAGTGATGATGCGCTGCAACTCCTTCTACACTCCCAGAGCGCGAAACATGCCGGGGACTTTGCCACAGCCAGGAGGAAGCAATGCACAGGAGTGCAGGATGCCCGGGATTTCCACAAGTGAAGAAGATGCAGTTTGTACCTTTCTGCACTTGATTCCCTCCTCTCCCCCACTTATACTGTGTTGGGGATTTCATTTGATTTTCTTCCTCAATGCAAATGCAAGTGATTATATATTAAAAAAAAAAAAAAAAGAGTTTGCTGCATTTGGCGAGTGGTGGCTGGGTCATAACTCAATTGCAATAAGGAAGGCTGAGGGACCTCCAAGGTCAAGGCTTCCCCGTTCCACTCCTCTGCTGAAGCCCTTGCCTTCCCCAGCGGTGATCTTTCCACAGTATACACCCTACAGCGATTTGTTGAACTGACCTGTGCTAGACTTTAAAGAGTCAGTGTAACAACAACTTCCTGCATACCTGAAGGATCGGGTGACACAGATGAACTGGTTGTTTGGCCTATCCTATCATGGGGTGCCTCTCAGTGGGGCAAGATGCCACAGGGGGTTTTGGACACAGCAACCAATGTTCCCTAATAGTTCTGAGACAGCAGGTGCTGGAAGCAGAAGACTTTATCAGATACCTGACTGGGGAAAACCACATAAGCCATATAAGCCTCCATCTCCACACCTAGAAGACGGGGGTGTTGGACTGTGCACTGCCTACCTCATGGGAGCAGATGCAAACCAGGCCTGAGCCTTGCCCCTCAGTCCTCAGGCTGAGTGAGTGCACTAGACCCAGCCAGTTCCAGTGGCTGAGGAACCTGGCCTCCCCAGGGCACAGCAGGGCCTCCCACCTGCTGGATGAGTTCCTCTTCATGCAGTAGGTGCAGGCGAGAGGCACTGTACTGCTCCTCCAGGGCCAGTGCAAAGTACTCGATGCTTCGGATGGACAGCTTCTCCTTCACTGTGAGGATGATGTCCTGGCAGCACAGGGGAGAGGGGTTACCCGATGAGTGGGGAGACTTCCCGGGCATCCTTACAGCTCCTCCAACGTCTGGGAGGAAAGAGCTGGTGCTGCTGCTGCGGCCACTGCTGACACAGGCAGGGTCCCAGTTCCCATATCCGACCCTTACAGCCCTGCACCACACAGAGCACCAGTCTATCCTGGGTTCCTCGGGAGGATGCCGCCATCCCAGGGAGATACCAGTCTCTTGCCTCAGTGTCTGGATACACAGTATCCGGACTTGCCAGTCTATACCAACTGGTGTCTGGGCAGAATCCTACGAGTCACTTCATGTGATGACGACGAACTGGCTTCCGTTCCTTCCTCTCAAATGGAGGATAATGGTGCCTACAGACTGCCAGGGAGGCTGTCAAGATGGAATGGCAGATTACGCTGTGCAGAGGCTGGATGGCCACCAGGCCACACTCACCCTTTCTCTCCAAAGGTCCCCTGTCACAGCGAATGCCTCAGGCACTCACATATGTTATTCCCTAAGTCTTTCACACCTTTTCCATCAGTCTTCACAAGGCTGCTTCTCTCCTTTTAAGTTCCACTGCGCATGTCACCTCTTCAGAGTATGACTGTAGTATCTAAGTATCTCTCTGCCTATTAGTCTCAGTTGCAAGGCCGTCCTCGTTTGCTTTCCATTCTGGGGATTGAGCCTACGGCCTCACACATCCTGGGCAAGAGCTCTCCACTGAGCCTAGTCTCTGGTTCCCGGGGCATGGTTAGTATCCATTTCTTTAACAAATTATGCTCTTTTTGGAAAAGACAGTAGAACAGGTACATGAACAAGTTCTAGACTGAGACGGACCTTCCTCGCTCGTGTCACTGTGTGTCTGTGGACACCCTGCTTGTTTTCTCCGTGGCTTCTGTCTGTTTCGGGAGACATCAACACCTATCAGGCAGACTGCCGTGTGCACTCATTTCCCACACAAGGCACTCAACACTCCCGGTCAGGTGCCGGTCTATACACGCTTAGCTCTAGCGTTGGTTTTCTTGCTCATTATCTCTTACCCTAATAGATACCAGCTCGCTGACGGTGTAAACTTCACCTACAATGGAGTCTAAATCAGGGTTTCTGTTCCTGTGGTAAACACCGCGACCAAAAGCAAGCTGAGGAAGAAAGGGCTTATTTGGCTCACACATCACTGTCCATCGTCAAAGGAAGTCAGGACAGGACCTCAAACAGGACAGGAGCCTGGAGGCACGAGCTGATACAGAGGAATGCTGCTTACTGGCTTGTTCCTCATGGCTAGCTGGGCTCCCTTTCTTACAGAACCCACGACTACTGGCCCATGGGTTGGCACCACCCACAATAGGCTGGGCCCCCCCACCCCCCGACCAATCACTAATTAAGAAAATGCCCTACAGCAGACTTTTATGGAGTTTCCTCAGTTGAGGCTCCCTCCTTTCAGATGGCTCCAGCTGTGTCAAGCTGGCAGAAGACCAGCCAGCACAGTTTGGATCTACTGTAGTCCAACGCTTGGGGCCTAGGGTATGCTCAGCAGCGTGTCACCTGATGGGTGACACCGTGGACGCACTCTGAACTGGTGTCGGCACCTCAGGTTTAGAAAGTCCAGGACCACTAAGTGCTGCCTCCTCCCCATGACTCCCTCACTGCTGGCTCCCTTACTCTCCATGAACAGGCCCGAGACTAAGTCCTGAAGAGGATGCCTACTTGTGCAATCCAGCAGCATTAATTCAGCTCCCGCTGTGTGCCAGGCATGGCACTGCAGAGAGCCCCACCACCCTCTTTTAACCTCGCAGTTATGAAATACAGACCCACACACCTTCGGCCCTGCAGACTGACTACTGAATTTATGAAGAAAACTTTTTTGTTGTTGTTACATTTTGTTCACTCGCTGTAGTTGCGCACAAGCCACAGTGCGCCTGTGGAGGTCAGAGGACAGTTTTCAGGGATCTGTTCTGTCCTTCCACCATGTGGGTTCAGGTTGTCAGGTCTGGTGGCAAATGCTTTTATCCGCTGAGGTATTTCACGGGTCCATATTATTGGTTTTTTACTGGCTGGCAAGCCTGCCTCTTGACTCTGCCAGTCCCTTCTGCTGTCTTTACCTTGCCGTGAAAACCCATACATATTTCCTGTCTTGGCAATGTGCTGTCCAGTGGACCCTCCTGCCCCCCAGCAGTCCCCCATCTTGCATCCAGAGGGGGGCTGTCAAACCACAGCCGTGGGACAAATCCAGCTCACTGCTGATTTTGTCATTAAAACCCACGAGAACAAAGCCATGCCCCGCCACCATGAAAGTTGAATATGTGACCTGATGGCCCTCAAAACCTAAAACATTTATTCTCTGGTCTTTTATCATGTAGTTCTAGGCAGTGGTTCTCAGCCTTCCTAATGGGACCCTTTAATAGAGTTCCTCATGCTGTGGTGACTCCCAACCATAAAATAAATTTGTTGCTACTTCATATATATAATTTTGCTGCTATTATGAATCTTAATATAAAGATCTGTGTTTTCCAGCGGTCTTAGGTGACCCCTTTGAAAGGGTCATTCGACCTCCAAGGGAACTTGTCTAAGCTTACAACTATCATGGTCTCCCTTGTTCAAGAACATTCAGTGGCTCCTCAGGGTTAAATAGCCAAAACCCAAGCACAATTTAATAGACACTCAAATATCAACTGCTAACCAAGCCATTCCTTCCATAGTATCTCTTTGGCCCTCTTTTTTAAGAAATAAGGTCTCAAGCCGGGTGTGGTGGCACATGCCTGTAATCCCAGCACTCAAGAGAGGCAGAGGCAGGTGGATCTCTGTGAGTTCAAGGCCAGCCTGACTACATAGAGAGACCCTGTTGAAAGAAAGAGAGAGAGAGAAAAGGGAGAGAGAGTCGGTCTCAGGGCTAGAGAGATGGCCCAGTGGTTAAGAGCCAGTACTGCTCTTGCAAACAATCCAAGCTGATTCTCAATACACAAATCAGACAAATAATAACCTTTTGTAACTTCCATTCCCAGGAAATCCAGCTACTGTGGTCTCCATGAGTACCTGCACTGCGTGTAGGTACCCACACATAGACAGACACACACACACACACACACATAATTATAAATAACGGAAATAAATCCTAAACAAAGAAAGAAACAGTGTCTCACACTAGTCCAGGCGAACTTCGAATTCATGATCCTCCTGCCTCAGCCATGAATGCTAGGATCACAGGGGTGCACTATACCCCACCTCCCACTTTATCTTCTGGTAACTTGCGTCAATGTGTCCTGCTCTCAAACATGTGGCAAGCGCGCCCATCTCTGGGTCTTCGTTGCTCTTCTTCCCGTGCCTGAAAGCATCTTCATGCCATTCCCAACCCACTGCTGTCAAAACCTGTGCGTCATTCCGTGTCTGCCACAGCTCATTGTCTCCCAGAAGCTGTGCGATACCACTCAGCCGGAAGCGCTTTCCCCTTAGCCTGGACTACATCAGTTCTATGCCCTTTTCTGGCTCTAAGCACATGGTACCTTGTCCTCAACTCCACCCCAATACCCCAGCTTCCTAAGAGGGTCACCCCAGGCTAATGGTTTCTATTAGCAACATCCAAGCGACACAGAAATGCCTGATCCACAAATGTCAGTAAGTCAGTAAATGTTAATGGGTCAAATCTCTTCGATGTAGAGATGTTTTTGTTTGTCTGTGTTTCTTTCTGGTTGGGGAGCAGAGTCTAGCACCCCAGGCTGGCCTGAAATTTGCTGTGTATCTGAGGGGCGATCCTGAACTTCAGCCTCACAGGCATGTGCCAGCACACTCAGCCCAGGTAGCTTAGAGGCTGTATCTTTGATTTGAAGAAGAACATATTTTGATGTAAAAATTCTCTTCCCATGGTAAGGGCCTGGGAGGGAGAAGTCCCTGCTGAGCTAAAGTCAGTTTTCCTTTCTGCACTAAAAGGATTTGTTTATATCTACTGCTCCCCCTATTATGAAGAGCTAAAAGATTTGCTTTATAAACTTGGGCTCCTACAGGTAGAATTCACCAGTATTATACTTGCTAAGCCTTTGTCCACTGTCCTAACTCTTATCTTCTTAGTTCCTCTGTGATATGAACTTTTACTGTAAAGCCCCTCAAGTATTTCTGGCTGCTACCAAAGCCTTCCTTGCCCTCATCCATTCTGCTTTAATCAAAGATGACAGAAGTAGAACCTAATTGACTCACAAAACTTCCCTCCTGAAGCAGAATGGTGGGGGAGAGGTAAACCTCAGCAACAGAGCAAGCCTGGTTACAAGCCAGTGGACCACGGCCAGCTGGGGACCCATTGGGCCTGCTTTCCCACCTACAAAGTGGAGATGAGGCTAGTCAGTCACATCCCAGGGTTATTGGGATGCTAAATTGGATAGTGCATGGGGAAGGACCCAGCAGAGTGGCTGGCATGAATGAAGCATACCCATTTCTCCCTCTTCTTCCTCCAGTGGCGGAGTTCCCTGGGTTCCGAAGACCTTTCTTTAGCCTCTCCTATATTATGCCAAGGTAGAATCAGGCAGGGAATTTGGAGCAGCTTGGAAAGTTGCCAGAGGAAAGCACCAGAGCGAAACGTTAGACATGTGCCTGTGCACGTGTGTGCGTGCATGCATTAACCAAGTGTATGTGTCCTGGCTACTGTCTACAGCCAACAGTGGCATCGCCCCACCTCATCTAGCCCCAAAGAGTTTGGCTCCTTATTTAACTTTCCATTTTATTGTTGTTGTTGTGTTATTGTGTTGTAGTCTTTTGTTTGTTTGTGTAAGATGGGGATCTCTCCATGTAACCCTGGATGTCCTGGAACTCACCGTATAGACCAGGTTGGCCTCGAACTCATAGAGATGTTCTCATGGAGATGTTCCTACCTCTGCTTCCTGAGTGCTGGGACTAAAGATGTGGGTCACCACACCCAGCCCAATGGCTTTTAATGTTTTTAAAACAATAGTTTGCTTCCACACTGCAGCCTTCCTCTGACACCTTTTCCTTCCTTCAAGGACAACTGGAGCGATCTCTCCTGTCTCTGGACAGTGCTGTCTGCCTCTGGAGGCCCTCCATGACTACTGCGTGCTTTGCTGGATAACACCCATTTTCCTGGTGTGCCCTTCATCCTCCATCTGACTTCGTTGCCTACATAGCTGCTCAGGCTCATTTCCTTTGCCCTGCCTGGGCTGATGTGCTAGCCTGAGAAAGATGCATGCTCTATGTGGCCCATGCACGACTTGTCCCATGTTCCGTAGCCTCACTGTATGCTTCCCTAGACAACTGGAGTTTCAGGGGTGCCCACCCTCTCTAAAAGTGAATAAAGGCTCCTCCAGCCCTTTACCAGGCTCTGTAACCCCTCTAAAAGAGAACCTCAGGTGGGGAGTTTATTATGCATGAGAGCATGCAAGGGCCTGGGCTTGTCCTCACATCTCGCCTTCGTGTTTAGCTGATTTGGTGTTTGCGTAGCAGGCGGAGGCGGAGACAAGATGTGAAGCCTGTGGTTAAAGGTGAAGGCGTAGATGTAATATGACCATGGACAAGCCACTTCGCCTCTTGTAGTCCCAGATCCCTCCCCTGCAAGAAGCGACAGAAACAAAACAAAACAAAGAAAGAAAGAAACCCACAGCCCCCTACCCCCTGAAAAAAAAAATCTTACTGGGTGGCTGTGTAACCAAATGAAATAATACAGTGCCTATCTCATCCTGGGCACTCAGGCTGCAGTGGGCATGAGACCACAAGGCAGACAGACGGCAAGCTGTCTGATGGTCCTTTGAGTTACCAACTTCCCTAAGGAAGGAAGGTTTACTTTCAATACCTTCACAGTTGTGTTTGCTTCAAACTTGAAAGCTTTGGTCTGCCCATTCTCCAGGTACACCTTGAGCACGTTGGGCATACAGAGCAGAGAGTTCCCCTGGAAAACACAAGAGTGGTGTTAGGCTGCCGACACGTTCTTCTGGCTCCTGGCATACCAATCCCTAACCGCCGGGCACTGCCAGTTTTCCAGAGCTAATTGCTGCTTTTTAGCATTTGGGAATTTCTCCAGGGGTGTAGATTTGCCTTGTTCAGGAAAATGCATGAGAGCCGCTCAGTGTGCTGGGCACAGGGAAGAGAGGGGGAGTCTCACCCTGTCCCAGCGCTGTAGGAGCCTGTCAGTGGCTCACGGCCATTTGCTGGTGTGTGTCTACTGGGTGCCACTCTTAAGGGACACAATTTCAAAATTAATGCCTAGCTGGGAAGTGGTCCACGCCTTTAATCCCAGCACCTGGGAGGCAGAGGCAGGCAGATCTCTGAGTTCCAGGCCAGCCTGGTCTACAGAGTGAGTTCCAGGACAGCCAGGGCTACACAGAGAAACTCTGTTTTGAGAAACAAACAGAATGACTGGTGTGTGTGTGTTCTTCACGTGGGAGCTTTCTGAGGTTCTCAGACCCCTCCTGGTGGGACAGGCATGGAATGGGGGGAAGAGGTGGAACCTTCCCTAGAGGCTCCTCCCCATTTTACTGCTGAAGCTCTCTGCAGTAAACATCAGCAAGCGGTAGAGGGGGGTGCCCTGCACCTCCATGGACCCCAACCATCACCTCCAAGGGACCCTGACACTCTTACAGGGCTTTGGGAGTCAGAGATACAGGGCTAATCTTTAGTAACGCCATGCCAGTCAGGATCCCTGGGAGCAGGGAAGCATTTGGGGGAGGGGGAGGGGGGAGGGGGTTCTCATTTTTTAAAATAACCTCTGAGTTGAGCTGAAAGTAAAATGTGACCTTTGACCTGACATCCTCCTAGAGCCAGCGAGAAATTCTCAAAAGCTCCCACGATTTGAACCAAGAGTACCTCTGCATGTCTCTATGAAGACTTTGGGTAGAAAGCCCAACTGGGCGAAGAAATTCATCACCTTCTATTCGGCCCCCAACACACCTGACAGCATTCACCCCATGAGACTACAGTCTCCTAAGTATGTAATATCCTAGCTTATTATTATATCATAGCTTATTATATTATCAGCTTATTATTATTATTTTTTGGACAGAGTGTTTTTATTTATGAAGGTAAGGGACAGGCTCACACTCTGTCCTGGTTGGTTTTTGGTCACTTGACAGAAGCTAAAGTTATTTGGGAAAAGACACTTCAGTTGGGAAAATACCTCCATCAGATAGTCTGTAGACAAGTCTGTAGGACATTTTCTTGACTAATGATCCACGTGGGAGGGCTCGGCCCACTCCACCCCTGGGCAGGTGGCCCTGAGGTATATGAGAAAGCAGGCTCAGCAAGGCAGCAGAAGAAACCTGACAGCAAGCAGTGCTCCTCCATAGCCTATTGCCAGGTTCCTGCCCTGGGTTCCCGACCTGGCTTCTCTCAGTGATGGAGTTCTAAACCGAAATAAACCCTTCCCTCTCCAAGTTGCTTTTTGGTCATGGTGTTTAATCACAGCAACAGAAACCCTAACTAAGACACCTTCATCCAAATCATGTTTAGCCAGGATGTAGGATTTCAAGCAGCCCCTTCTGCTGTCATTTCACATTCCTGGCTCTGGGTATAAAAATCTCATTTTGGATTTCCCACTTGGGAGCTTTCCCCCTGGATATGTTATAATTTGTGATTTATGAGGCTTAGAAAAAAAAAAATACACCCCTAACATCATATAGCTCCCACCATTTCTTTTTCTTTAATGCTTCTTTTAGTTTTTTTTTTTTTTTTTGGTCTAAATTTGTATAGATTTTAGAAAACTGAAAAAAAAAAACAGGACAATGCACAATTCCACATTCTTTTATTTTTACCCAACATTTCATATGCGATTTTTATGTCAACTTACTATTTATCACTGCAAAGGCTTTAAAATATTCTAAAGAACTGAAATAACCATCTCTCTGTGATAGACATGCAGTATCTTTCTGGTTTTGGGTTTTTTTTCCCTGGCTATTTAAAATACTGATACTACAGCTATGTTCATTATATGCATTTCTTGCATTTAAATTTCCTTATTTCTCAATGTAGAGACGTGAGACGTCTTGGCCATATTTCATGCTAGATATTGAGTTGTATCTTTTTCACCTCCCCCCCATACGATTATACCCTATTTTACAAAGCTCCCGGGGGGTGCATGATTGTAACTCTTTCCTCAGCATCCTGGCTGACATTTTCCTGATTTGTGCTCATTTACTAACGCGCTGGCAGCTCACCAGCGTCATCACTTTGTGACAGCTTCCTTTGTGTCTCTTTAACTGTGAGCCAATCCAGCCCCATTTCCAAGGCTGGGTTTTACAGTCTAGAGTGATGAGGACCCTTAGAGCCATCTTCTCATCTTTTCAAGGGGAGTTTAGTTAGCTTTTCAACACTTGGGAGAATGGCGAGGCAGGTCACAGTGGTGAGTGCTCACTGGCTTCACTGCCTCTCCTGTGGATGACTGGTGCAGAGCCTCTTCTGGGAGTCCCAAACTGCAAGCTTCCCAGAGAAACCTTTGGGGAACACCGATCCTCTAAACTGCCCATCCCCACCAAAACTCTTAACCAGTTTAGTATCCTGTTTGGGTCTCAAAACTTGTCCTTCTCTTGAGTTTTCAGAACACACATCAGGGAATGAGGCATGATGATCATTTTTAAAGTGACAGTCCAGGTTAGCTGGTCCATACCTGTGGTAGCTTCATTCCTGGGCTGTTTTTATCCTCATTGCTCATCACGTACACTACTTTACAAAATGCAAGTCACTCGCTTCTTGGCCTTTTGGCTAAGATTAAGTGAATGTACATGTTGAATCTAAATTTAGTCTTCAGAGAGGTTCAACCCATTTTCACAAGTGTGGAAGCTTCAGATCACTGCTGACAGGCAGCATCCGGGTTTACTCTGATTGATGTATTAGGTTTCAGGGGCCCCTTCCTGAACAAGCCTACCCTTTTCTCTCAGGTCTAACTGAAGATGTACTCTGTCATATACCAGAGCAGAGAGAAAATAAAGGCTTTTATATGTGGACCAGGTCAACTGAATCCTGTGCTTAAATGGCCATGGACCCATTCCTTCAATTCCTCTGGATGACAAGAAGTTTTGACTCGAAAGTTTGAAAATCTGATACCAATTGCTGAATTCAGAATGGCACGTTACCAGCCATCTTATAAATTATGAGCAAATGTGCCTTTTATCAATAAATCCTTATTTAAAACATCAGTTCCAGGCTGGAAAAAGGCTCTGTGGCTAAGAACATTTGCAGCTCTTGAAGAGGACTTGAGTTCAGTTCTCAGTACCCACAGGGTGCTCCTAACTGTGACTCCAGCTTTAAAGAATCCAATGCCACCCCTTTTGGCCTCTGTCTCACACACACACACACACACACACACACACACACACACACACACACACACTGTATAGAGACCAACATGGATAATGAGAGGACCTGACTAACTCCATTTTGAGACTAGGCCCACGCAAAGCTGGGCCAAAGTTCTTGCCACCCTTCCCCCTTTCCTGCTTGATGAATTCCTGGAAAAAAAAAAA